TATTGTAAATACCTTATTATTATATCGCCTTTAATTAACTTTGCGATCAGATTTGGGAATTCACTGAGCTCAAGGAGTAAGGTTTGTTATTAAGGCTATTATTATGTGTTATAAAAATGGCCCTAAAGAGAAGTGTTCAGTCAGCAGACCAGCCCACTGAGACACTCTGCATAAAGCCTATAAGTCCACTGTCAGTATACTGCAACCCATGTTTGTCCATCTATCACTAATCTGCCTCTAAGATATCAGTGAACACAGGCTTATTAGTAATCTTCCTACAGCCAGTGACACACATCGAATGTAAATCCAGTTCATTATAAAGCAGATCTAAAGATGTGCAACTGTCTAAGGCAATGTTGATGGTGAAATAATTATTTTTCTTGCAGATGCAAAATCTGCTAGGAAGCGTTAATATTTCAGTGGTAATTATTTATAGTTGATCAGCAGTATTGACTGAGAATTTGTGCACTTACAGAGTTGATACAGAGTTTGTTCAAAATTAAGTGAAGTGTTAAATGAACCTTGAATTTAGAAATCAAAATGACCAAAACATTCATTTTTATTACAATCAAACTGAGAGTGGATTTGCTATGTGTGCTGCGGTGGTTTCTAAAGAAGATCAAGGAGCAGTGTGTTAATATACTGTTTCATTCATTTTACACTGTTTTATATTGTACTTGTTTGGAGCCAGGATTACTCTGTTATAAACCAAAGTTTATACTGCCTAGGATGGCGTTTCTTGGGCAGGGTGGCATCAGGTCCACTCTGCATAAAGCATCCAGTTAAACTATAACCCAGTATTCACCACATATTGTGATATTATTAGACATTATTAGACTGGATTAAACATGAAAATTAACATCAATACATTTATGCCATTAAAAACCATATATTAAATGATTATATAGGTGAGACCTTTTTAGTTTTATCAATTTTATCATAGCAATGCAACAAATCATTAAGTAGTCACTTTGTCACCTGATACTTAAGAGGGAAAGTAGAATTTCTTTCTTCTGCAGAACCTTACCTCCATAAACGTGTCTCATGGAAATCAACAAGAGTAGAAACAGGTCTGTCACAAAATTCCCCATTGTTAGTTAGGCCCTTAAAATCTAGCTTCATTCAGTTAAGAGCAACCACTGGCTGTTTGACTGTGCTGTCCATTGTCTTTACTGTACAGCATTAGCTCTGCATGTCATCTTCAACCACTGACAACTTTTAGACAGCCTCTACTTGCTTTACTAGCCTTGGATTACAGCTTAAAAACTGTACCTGTGGCTGTGAGCTGAGAATAGTGAGGTGGAGCCTACACCCCCTGATCCTCCCCTCAGCTGTTGTAGTGTTCAGTACCAAACATGAACACAAGGGGGAGGTGTCACAACACATAGTGGGAAAGAAAAGTATTTAAATGCTTTATAATGACTACAGCAAACTGTGTTCATATTTGTGTTCATGAAGAGACAGTGACTGGAAATCAGGTCTTCATAAACTATTGCAAATACTTTTACTGAGCATGCGACTTATTACTTACTCTGTGTAAACTCATCAAACATGACAATGAACTGCACTGACAAAACACATTCATTATGCTGCCACTTGAATTTATTATGATTAATATATGATAAATCTTCTTGTAGCCATATTTTGCAAGCTATTCAAGTATTGTTTGATTTCTTTTCCTTTTGCATTTACTTAGTAGTAGAGATAGTGAGGAAACATGTCTGTTATGTTCTCAACATGCAGCTTTAGTTTTGCAGCCAGATTTGAAATGGACATGCTGTATTTTGGAAACTTATAGCACTAGGTCACATGGACATTGTTCTCTGAGAACCTGGGTAACATTCTACTTTAAACCTTTTTTATACAATTGCACCTGTCAGTGCATGCTAGACCAAAAAAAAAAAGGATGAAAATTAAATCTGATATGGTGCTGTAGAAATCCAGGGTGTAGTGGTCCTTTCTGACTGTCCAATAGTTTGGGCACAGTGACACAGAAAAAGGGTAAGTGGGTATCGATTATGGATGGACAGATGGAAGGAAATCTATGTGCTGCTTTCAGCCCATTCAATCTGTTTGGGGGTGAGCTGTCACAGTGTCTTTCAGTTTACTATGACCGGTGGACACAAGCATCAGACATGCTCACATTTAATAGTGACTTTAATCAAACATGTTTCTACATATGTTCAAGTGCAGTTCATTTACTGATCTTAAAATCTGCTAAATAGTAGAAGAACATGAAAAGCTACTTGGCTAACAGTAACAGTTGCTGGTGTAATTTGTTACTTTCTACCCCAGTGCCACCCACTGGAATGAATTCAACTGACTTGCAGAGGAGAACAGAAGACAGAGAAAGTAAGATAGAAGAAAAGAAAAAAGGAAAAGAGAGCGTGCAAAATGCCAAAACCAGAAGAGAGGGAGGAAGTGAAGGGAACGAGAGGTTAAAGGAGGGAAATAGCTCTTGGCTGATTGAGTTGAAGTGGAAGTTTGGGTGTGATTGTTGAAACTGCAGGACACACTCCCTGCTCTGTATCCTGAACCCCTCCACCCCTTAACCTGTGACCTACACACACACACACACACACACACACACACACACACAAATGTGCAGCAAATCTGC